TGTCCTTTTTCTAGGTTTTATGGCTGCTTTGAGGAGAGGGATTCTAGTGCCTGTGACCAGCCTGGGAAGTGAAGTTGTGGTTTCTATGGTTTTCCTTGGGGAGGAAAAGGAGTAGGAGAAAGGGGGAGAGTGAAAGGCAGACAACTTGTTCCTGAGGCCCCTTCAGTTTCCGTCACTTCACAACACTCAGCAGGCCAAGGCCCTGTACATTAGGGGGTCATCTTCTGAGCCCCAACAATATTGCAGAGATAAGTGAGTAGTAAAATCACTGGAGCAATGTAATCCAAGATCTGTTACGATCAGATGGGAGAAAGCTTTGGTTCAGTCCTTAAGAAAGTGTAGGATGGCCAGGCATAGTGACTCATGCCTGTAATCCCAGCATTCTCAGAGGCCGAGGTGGGTGGATTGCTTGAATTCAGATGGTCAAGACCAGTCTGAGAAAGTGGGGACCCTGCCTCCAAAAAAATAGCCAGGCATTGTGGTGGGCATCTGTAGTCCCAGCTACTTGCTGAGGCAAGAGAATCACGTAAGCCTAACAGTCTGAGGTTGCTATGAGCTACAACGCCATGGCACTCTACCCAGGGCGACTGAGTGAGACTCTATCTCAAAAAAAAAAAAAAAAAAAAACAGTTATGGAGAGGGCTGAGTAAAGGCATTCCAAGTGAATCTCAGGCATAGCACCTCTGGGTGGGGAGGGAGTCAGGAGGAAGGGTGTTAGGAAGTACTGGGACATAAGCAGGGGGGATTCTAGAAGCTCCGGGTGGGCTCTGGGGCAACCATCAGGTTGGAAGAGAGTCTGTGGGCTTATCCTGAAGCCAAGCCAGCCTCCTGCCTTCACTCAGACCATGTGCTTAACTGGACTGGATTTGAGGGTCAGAGTTAAAGCCTCCCTCCCCTTTCCCCAAAACAACTTGCCTACTCCCATGCATGGGACACCCCGAGTCAGGGAGGCAGAGTGTGGAGCACCACAGAGGACAAGAGAGCCCCTGACCCTGGTTCAGTAGGAGGGAGGCAGGCAGTGCAGGTGACAGAGGACAGGAGCACAGGCATTTGGCATGGCACCATCAGTCTCATCCCTGGCTGTCACCACATGAGCAGGACATAGGTGTGTTGGCGCAGTGCCTCCTCTGAGTGGTGGCATGGACAGTGGGTGGGTGGGCATACTCCCCCATGCTGTGCTTGGCAGCAGGCAGGTGACAGGAACATGGGCTAGGAGGCCCCTTTGTGTATTCAGATGAGGAAATGAGGGCCAGACCAGGCCCTGAGATGAGACCAGTGAGAATGAGGAGGAGGCATGAGGGAGATCGCAAAGCCACACTGCTCGGGGCCTGCTCAGCGGATAGCAAAGGCAGGGGAAGAAGAAACAAAGATGGTCTGCAGTTTTTTTGTTTTGTTTTTTTGCACTTTTTAGTGGGGGCTGGGTTTGAACCTGTCACCTCCGGCATATGGGGCCGGCACCCCACTCCTTTGAGCCACAGGCACCGCCTGGTCTGCAGTGTCAAGAAGAATCTTAAGCAATAAGTAATTAATGGTGCCCCTGACAAAGAGGAGGGAAGATGGGAGAGGCAGCTGGGTTGTAAGAGAAGAAGGTGCGTTATCAGTTTCAGCAAATTGAAATGGAGGCCGAAATCCGAGTTCAGAAATCAAACTGGGTGCTGGGATGAAATGGCAAGTAGGGACTGGAGGCCGTGATGTGTCCGTCCTCACTTGCAATTCTGGCCATGCGCCTTCAACACCTCCACCCAAATCATCACCACCATCCAGTGCAGGGACAGCTGGTCAGGGGTAGTGTCTTTTCTCTTGTGCCCAACCTCCCTTGCCCATTGTTTCACAACTGTTAAAGATTGTGGCCGGAAGAAACAACGTGACCACTTAGAAGGAAAATCTGCACTTGGGAGGCCAAGGCAGGTGATTGTCTGAGCTCACGGGTTTGAGACCAGCCTGAGCTAGAGCAAGACCTCATCTGGGAGGTGGGGTGAAGGGGTTGGGGGGAGGAAATAGCTGGGCATTGTGGTAGGCGCCTGTCATCCCAGCTGCTTGGCTGAGGTAACAGAACTGTTTGAGCCCAGGAGTTTGAGGTTGCTGTGAGCTATTGTGCCACAGCACTCTACTCTACCAAGAGCAGCAAAGTGAGACATTTTCTCAAAAAAAAAAAAAAAAAAAAAAAGAAGAAGGAGGAGGAGGAGGATAAAAAGAAAATCTGGAAATAACTGAAGCTATTTAGTCAAATGAATAGGTCAAACGTCATTAAAGTATGGCAAAGATGTGGAGACAGACAGGAAGAAAGAAATAAACATGCACCGGCTCGGCATCCGTAGCACAGTGGTTAAGGTGCCAGCCACATACACTGAGGGTGGCAGGTCTGGACCCAGCGGGGCCAGCTAAACAACTGCAACAAAAAAATAGCCGGGCATTGTGGTGAGTGTCCATAGTCTCAGCTACTTAGGAGGCTGAGGCAAGAGAATTGCTTAAGCCCAAGAGTTGGAGGTTGCTGTGAGCTGTGATGCCACAGCACTCTACCCAGGGCAATAGCTTGAGACTATGTCACAAAAGAAATGAAGATATGGCTTTTGTTAAAACAGAAAGATCTGGGCTGTACATGCGCATCACCTGCTGCTTTCTTGGCCTTCCTTGGGAGTCTGCAACTATCTATTTAGTCTTACTTGTGAAAGCATTTGACCATTCAATCCTCTCCAGGAAGTACTGGAATAACTCTAAGCCCACTGGTCTAGATGTTCTAGCCATACTTTGACTATCATTTTCTGAACCCCAAGGTCACCAAAGAAGAAATAAGTAGCCAGGATAGAGAATACAGAGCTTCCTTCAACCCATCTCCTCTTTTCTTTTTCTTTTTGTGTGTGTGTGTGTGTGTGTGTGTGTGTGTGTGTGTTTTGAGACAGTTTCACTTTGTCACCCTTGGTAGAGTGTCCTAGCATCATAGCTCACAGCAACCCAAACTCTTAGGTCAAGTGATCCTCTTGCCTCAGCCTCCCAAGTACCTGGGTCTACAGGTATCTGCCACAACACCTGGCTATTTTTTAGTGATGGGTTCTCACTCTTGTTCAGGCTGGTCTCTAATGCATGAGCTCAGGCAATCTCCACCTGCCTCAGTCTCCCAGAGTGCTAGGATTACTGGCATGAGCCACCGCATCCAGCCAACCTATCTCCTCATTCCTTTTCCTCTGCCTCCTCTACCCTGGGGAGCATTTTCCTTTTTAGAACTACTGCAATTGAGCAGAAAGATGCTGGTTTGCATATAGACCTGATAGGATGCCCATATTCTGCGCAGAGTTCTAGGTGGGATTCCAGACGTATTCCATGCCCCTGGGTATGAGCTTCTCAGGCATGCGTCTTAATTGACAGCAACCTTTTTCTCTACAAGTAGATATGCCATAAACAAATTATAAGTGAAGGTGCCTGTACATTGTGGTCACTGTTGCATTGTTTACACATGCGGTGACCTTGGTAAATAGTTTCGGGAAAGTCACATGGAATAATAAAATTAGTTAGTGAATTTTTTTTGCTCCTTCATTTAGAGTCTGCCCTGATTTGCTGTACCAAGTTGTGCAATCACCTGGAAATGTGCTCTGCCCTCCCATGTGCTTTTCAAATGCAAATGAGCAGGTTAACAACCCCAGTGTTGCAATGTTCTAACCTTAAATCTCCTTGGATAACCCAGGGGAGACTTTGTCCTTTTGGAATAGGGCAAAGAGTGGAATCCAGCCAGGGCTGGAGTGCTGTGGAGAGAAAGAACAGGACAGAGGATACAAGAGTCTGGAGGAGATTGTTAAAACCAGCTTCCAAGTGGGCTCCTGATTCATGGTGAACCCATCCCTCAGCTCCGAGGGGGAGTCTGTTAAATCATGAAACTAATTGCCATCCTTTTCCTCTGCTCCAGGCTGCTAGCAAGTTTAACCCAAGAATCGCTCGCTAAGGAAGTTGACTGCAATGATGAAGAATTATTTAAGGCTGTGGATGTGGCTCTGAAGAAATACAACGGTCAAAATGAAAGTGGCAACCAGTTTGTACTGTACCGCATAACCGGGGGCACGAAGGTGGTGAGTGAGCTGTGTTTAACCTTGGAGTCTATCACTGTGCTATCACTGGGAGCCCAGGCCGCTCACACACGTGCACACACACAGCATCAAGGAACAGTAGATCAAGTGTAGAAGCTTACGGATCTTTGAAAAGGTCAACACTCTCTAGCCTGGGGGTGGAGGGCAGGGTATGACTATATCTTGAGCCACCCTGGTTGGCTTCCTGGGTGATCAGAAGAGCATTCTCGCAGAGGTAGATGGAGAAATTGAAAGGGACCACCCAGTGGGAGAAACTAAGAGCTCAGTGTGACTGTACAGGAGGATTCACTGGGTCTCCGGCCTTAGATTAAAATATAAAGACCTCCCACACTTCAGTGGGTGGGGTACTTCATGGGGTATGTTTAAGAGGAGTTGGGAATGAGATGAGCATGATTCTACCACCCTGGGTGAAAACTGTGGTGAAGCCTGTGTAGCTGAATGCACCAGTGTTTCCGTTGACAGCATCACTGCGTTGATGTACTCGGGTAGGAGAAAAATCCTGGCAGGACGCATGATTCAAAGAAGTACTAATCTTTCCAGAGTATGTTTAAATTAATTCCACTATAAAAGACTGTATATCTCTGGAATAGTTGAGCAATTGGTTTACTTCACTGAAGAAAAAAAGAAAACAACCATATCACATCATGAAGATAAAGAAATGTAGCCACAGTGGGCTTGATTTTTTTTCTCCTGAAAGTAAAATTGAGCCATTTTATTTCACAGTCTAGTATAGTCTTCTGAGCAATTCTGCTCCCTGGTGCTCTGAAGTTAGGGTTTGTTGGTGGTATCTTCACTGGTGGACCCGGGGAAAGTGTGGCTTTGTTCTATAATCTCCACAGTTATCTGTGTTATCTTTGCTACATGGGCAAAGCTTCTGCTGCCTCCTGCTTCACAGGCCCACATTATCAAAACAGAAGGAAGCTTGGAGAGTATCTTGTTAGACTCTGTCATCTCCCTGGTACAAATAACACCACCTAAGCAGGCTCTGAGAGAGCACTGCCCTGGGCCGCAGGAGACTGGGGGCCTGGGATGGTGAGGCTCTGACGTCTCCAGGCCTCCCTGCTCTCAGCTGCAAAGGGAGGGCCTGGACGATATCACCTCCCAGGTCATTTACTGCTCTGACATGCCAGGCCTGTGCATCTTTCACGTGCACGTTCAGCTATCTAGTTCAGCATGTTTGCACTTTAAAGAAAAAGTCATAAGCTTATGATAGCTTAGAAAAATTAAATCATCCTTAAAAAGAATACAGTACTGATACATCTTACAACATGGCTAAACCTTGGACATTTCATGCAAAGTGAAAGAAGTTGGACACAGAGACCAGATGTACAACCCCAGTGAAATGAAATGTTTAGAATAGGCAAATATAAAGAGATTGAAAGTAGATTACTGAAAAAAAAATAAAAAAGAAAGTAGATTACCATTTGCCAGGGACTGGATGCAAAGAGGAATGGGCAAAAACTGCTAGTGGACCCAAGGCTTCTCCTGGGGGTAACAAAGTAGTCTAAAATATAGTGTGGGTGGGGTTGTAAATATACGAAGAAACATTGACTTGTACACTTTAAGTGAGTGAATTCTACGGCATGTAAATCATATATCCGTAATACTGCTTAAAAAGAGAAAAGAAATACAAATTAGGAAACAAAGCAAAGGAAAGTACTAAAATTACCCATAGTTAATTCCACCGTACAGATTTAACTGTTAACATATTTCTCTCTCTTTTGTTGAATTGTTTATTATTTTTTATTTTTTAATTAAATCATAACTTTGTACATTGATGCATTTATGGAGTTCGGGGTACTGCTTTGATATACAATGTGAAATGCTTACATTGAACTAAGTAACACAGTCATCACAATTATACTCATCTCTTAATAGTTTTGAAATGTACCATGGCATCATGCACATTAGCTGAGGTCCCCCCAAATGCCCTCCCTCCCTCCAAACTCCCCTTCCCTCTCAACATATTTTTTTAAATAAAATACTCTTATTTGTTTTTTTCTAGTTGTAAAAGTAATATATATTCATGGGGTGGGGGAGACCATTTAGAAATGTTTGCTTAAAGAAGAAAGTTAAAGATAATTATAGTCCCTGGCTTGGCACCTGTGACTCAGCGGCTAGGGCACCAGCCATATACACTGGAGCTGGTGGGTTCGAACCCAGCCTGGGCCTGCCAAACAACAGTGACAACTACAACCAAAAATCAGCCAGGCACTGTGGCGAGCACCTGTAGTCCCAGCTACTTGGGAGGCTGAGGCAAGAGATCACTTAAGCCCAAGAGTGTGATGTTGCCGTGAGCTGTGACGCCATGGTAGTCTACCGAGGGTGACATAGTGAGACTCTGTCTCAAAAAAATAAATAAATAAAATAATTGTAGTCCCCCTACTGAGTGACATTTTCACAGCTTGCTGCATATCCTTTCAGACTTTTCAAAGATGTGTATATAAATATAAGTCAGTTTTTGGGTGGTGCCTGTGGCTCAGCGGGGTAGGGTGACGACCCCATATGCCAGAGGTGGTGGGTTCAAACCTAGCCCTGGCCAAATATATATATATATATATATAAAAGTCAGTTTTTACCAAAAAAAGCTAATAATATGGGTACTGTTTTGTAACCTTTAAAAAATACATTGCAAGTATATTATGACCACTCTTCAAAGTAAATTTTATAATAGTTCTAAAAACATAAACATTTATATTTTTAATGAATTCTGTGTTCTTGTTAAAGCAAATCAAGAATAATACTCATAACCATGCTGGAACCCATTCAAATTATTTGGATCAGTCAGATAAAGCATAATGTCTTTGGTTGTTTTCTTCAGGTTAATCCCGACATATTTTATACCATTAAGTACCAAATCAAGGAGGGTGACTGTCCTGTGCAAAGTGGCAAAACCTGGCAGGACTGTGACTACAAGAACGCTACAGAAGCTGTAAGTGTGTTGACAGTTTCCAGGCCTCCAGTGTTCTCCATCAGGCCTGCCAGATTTTTTTCCACTTGTGCAGGGATGCCTATTAGAGAAGCTGTCTATGAGGGGTACACATAAACCCTCAGATGTGTAGAGAAGTCCAATGCTTGATATCCATGCTCTTGCACAGACAGAAAAATTACAGAGAGGCTAGCAGTTAAGTGCGGAGAAAGCCCTCTCTCAAAAAAAGGAGTCTAGTGATCAACCAGGTCATGTGGGTCAAGTCCCTTAGCGATAACAGATCCACATTCAGCCCAAGCTGAAGGGCTGGGGAGGAGTGAGCACCAGTTTGTCACTGGCACGGGTCAGAGTGCACATCTTGACTATGCCTTGAATTAGCTGTGGGATAGTAGGCATGCTGCTTGATCTCTCTGAACTGGTGCTCTCCTCTGTAAAAGGGAGACTATATTGACCTCATCAGTTTGTTGGAGAATTAAATGGGAAAAATTATGCAAATGACCCTGTTAGTAACAATGGCTGTCTTAACCAAAGCCATAGCATATATGCCTGGCACACTACAGCTGGTGGTTTTGCCTTAATTTAGGAAGATAGTGAAAGGTATCTGCCTCGGGAGCACACCTCTCTTTTCACAGCCCATGGATCCACTTCTTTATGTCAGAACATAAAAGATGAGCCCTGGGCATCTGCACTTACTGGAGAGCAGCGGACTCTGAGTCGGGGGCCAGGACTGTAGGGCTGGTTCTGCTTCTCAGTGATCCCATCCGTAAGATGGGGCTGATTAGCTGCCGAGCCCTGTGCTGCCTGCCTCTCAGGGCCATGGGGAAGAAGGGAAATATGCTTTATCCTGAGAGAATAGTGTCTGTCACTTCAGAGAAGTCCGGCAGATATGGCTGAACAATGACAAGACTAAACAGAACAGGAAATGCTGCTGTTCAGCAATAACAGTTAAACAGCAGCCTAGTAAGTGCCTACTGCACACGGGCCTCCAGTAAGCCCTTTATGTATGTTTGCCCGCTTACTCTTCACAGCAGCCCTATGAGATAGATGAGGCTGCCTCCTAAGACAGGTAAACTGAGACTCTGAGATGCAAAGGACTTGACGGAGGCAGCAGCTAGCAAGTGGCAGAGCTGGAACCGGTCGATGCTTTGACACCGAGTTCCTTGCTCTTTTTAGTAAGTTAAACTGAAGTTTATGTGAATAGTAGTAATCCACTGAAATCGGGAGTAAATCAAGAGGAGAACACAGCAGGCAGGTTCCAAGGCACTGCACACATCTCCGTGAGAAAGAGTGTCTCCAGAGCTTGGAATAAGGACTCCAGCTTGTAAACCACCATTTATACTGTCATTCCCCTGATTGTCTCCTATGTATCAGTGGCTTTAAAAAATAATCGTTAGGCCATGAAAACATTCATTCTCGTGTCTCAAAGCTCTTCTGGATAAAATCTTCACAAATTTTGTTTCTTTTTGAAGGAACATTACATTTAGCACAGTACCAGGTGGACTTTTCCAGCTGAAAGATTAGGATAACTGGTCTCTTTCTTTTCTTTTTAGGCTACAGGAGAATGCACAGCGACCGTGGGGGTGAGGGGGAATAAAAAGTTCTCCGTGGCTAGCCAGACCTGCAAGATTACTCCAGGTAGCTGATATATCTGGGGGCATATGCCCAGAGGGTGCATAGCAACGCTACCTGCAGCGTTAGATAGCAGAGGCTCATGCGTGGGGTGGGGTGGCAGGGCCTGATGCTGGACCAGCTGGACCAGCTGATATATCTGGGGGCATATGCCCAGAGGGTGGCATAGCAACGCTACCTGCAGCGTTAGATAGCAGAGGCTCATGCGTGGGGTGGGGTGGCAGGGCCTGATGCTGGACCAGACTTGTGACAATCATCCACTCAGGACTATCCAACTCTTCTTCAAGTGTCTGCAAAAGAATGAGAAGACACAGACCTGCCTTCAATAAAAGGCACAACCCAGAGTGAGGAAAGTGTAGGATTTGAGGTCAGACTAGGCCTGGAGTCTTTCACAGCTTATCTAGAAAAGGGGAGATAACAGTACTTCCCACTCCACAGGATTGTTCTGAAACTGACGTGAGATGGTACAGCTGAAGGTATGATGCCTGGCAGTCAGCATAATGGCAATCAGGATAAAAATAACAGCTAACATTTATTGATTATATGTGTTAGCCACGGTTCTAGGTACTTGACATGTATTAACTTATTTTTTCTTTTTTATTTTTCTTTTATTGATACACAATATTTTAAATAGTTATGAGGTACATGCATAGAATGTGTAATGGTCAAGCCAGAGTATTTGAGATATCCATCACCATTTCTGTGTGTCACTCCAGTTCTCCCTTATACATACTTTGAAATATAAAACATATTGTTACTAACTATCGTCACCCTCACCTGCTATTGAACATTAGAATTTCTTCTATTTAACTGTAAGTTTGTACCCATTCACCAACCTCTCTTCATTTCGTCCTCTGACCCTCCCATCCCGTCTAGCCTCTGGGATCTATCATTCATATCTAACTATCTCAGTCTCCAGTGATTAAGTGTTTTTAGCTCCCTGCATATGAGTGAGAGCATTCAAACTTTTTCTTTCTGTGCCTGGATTATTTCACTTAACATGACTTCCAGTTCCATCTATGTTCCTACAAATTGCATGATTTCATTTTTTTATGAATGAGTAGTATTCCATTGTGTATATGTGGCACATTTTCTTTATCCACGCTTCCCTTGATGGGCACTTAGGTTGACTCCATATCTTTGCTATTGTGAATATATATAGTTTCCTTTTCCTTTGGATAAATATCCAGGAGTGGGATTACTTGTTCATATGGTATTCTAGTTTCAGTTTTTTGAGAACTCTCCATTCTGTTTTCTACACTGGTTGTACCAGTTTACATTCAGACCAACATTCCCTTTTCTCCACATCCTCACCAGCATCTGTCTTTTTTCTTTTCTTTTTCATGATACCCATTCTAATGGGGATAAGATGATGTTCCTCATTGTGGTTTTGCTTTGCATTTCCCTGATGCTTAGTGAAGTTGAGCTTTTTCTCACCTGTTGCACATTTGTAAGTTTTCTTTTCAGAAATGTCTGCGCAGATCCTTTGTCCACTTCAAGAATTTGATTTTTTATTGTTAAGTTCTTTGAGTTCCTTGTATATTCTAGATGTTAGTCCCTCATCAGATGAATAGCTTGCAAATATTTACTAACATTCAATAGGTGGTCTCTTCACTGTGTTGATTATTTCTTTTGCTCTGCAGAAGCTTTTTAGTTTTATACAATCCTGTTTGTCTATCTTTCCTTACTTATCTGTGATTGAGGTCCTAGACATAAAACATTTGCTTAGGAACAATGTCCTGAAATGTCTCCCCTACATTTTCTTCTAGTAATTTTATAGTGCTTGATCTTATGTTTAAGTCTTTAATCCATCTTGACTTGATTTTTGTAAATGGTAAGAGATAGGGGTTCAATTTCATGCTATTGCATATGGATATCCAATTTTCACAGCACCATTTATCGAAGTGATGTCTTTTCTTCATTGTTCTTGGCACCATGTTCTTGGCACCTTTGTGGGAAATCAGTTGGCTGTAAATATGTGGACTTATTTCTGGTTGCTCGATTCTGTTCCATTTGTCTATGTGTCTATTCTTATGACAATACCATGCTGTTCTGGTTATTGTAGCTCTGTAATATATTTTAAAGTCAGGTATTGTGATGCCTCCAGCTTTGTTCTTTATGTTCAGGATTGTTTTATTCTGGTTTTTTTTTTTGGCACTGTATAAATTTAAGATTTTTTCCCTATTTCTGTAAAAAATGACATAGTATTTTGATAGGGATTACATTGAATCTGTATATTGCTTTGGGCAATATGGTCATTTTAATGATATTAGTTTTTCCAATTCATGAGTATGCAAGGTCTGTCCATTTGTTTCTTTTTCAATTTCTCTCATCAGTATTTGTAGGCTTCACAACTCAGTGAGGTAGGCATTAATATCTATCTCATTTCACAGATCAGGAAACTGAAGCCTATCACAGTAACTTGGCCAAAATCCCCAGCTAGTAGAGTTGGTAGAGTAGACTCTAAATAAATGAAATTCCTTAAGAATATAATTATGGAGAAACTTATCAATAGATAAGGCCACTATTACCTTTTTCTCTAATGTGGCAGAGGTTCTAAGTACAGAAGAAAGGACATATCCAAGTGATGTAAATGATGAAAGCCTTCCTGGAATCACCTTCTGTAAGGTAGAGCTTTTCTGCAAGGTAGAGCTTTACATGTGAGGGTCCTGGAACAATATCTTCAGCTTCACTACAGCTCACTATTGGTGGTAATTATACCAGCCTTAGTCATCCACATGGAACCCACAAAAATTATATCCTTGGGGGTTCTGGTTCTCACACAAAGTTGTGTTCAAAGAAAAAAGTTCAAAACAGAATAGAAATCACAACTAATTCTGTCGCTCAGAAAAACTGAGTGTATATCTTTTCCTACTCCTCTCACCTTCAAAAAGCCATCTTTCCCTTTCTTACCCCTAGTCAGTCTTATGAATAAAAGCTGGCCCTTGTGATTATGCAAACCAGCCTCAGTCCTCTCTCTATCTCCCCTTTATCTCCTGTGTCCATCTTTCTTGTTCAGTAATTAGCAATAATTCTCTCATCTTCTATTTGGAATTCCTATAATTTTTTAGCTCTGCCCATTACCCTGATCAATATAACTTCTATAAAGGGGGAAAGGGAAAGCTAGCCTTATTCACCCAATATTTTTTTTTCTGACATGCATATTTATGGAGAGAAATAGAAGAAATAGTTGTCAGTGTAGTTGACCTACTAAGAACTGAGCAATAGCCTTGTCCAACACTGGTGGCCTCCTGATTGTGTTTGGATCCCATAGAGGGAGACAGTGAGAGCCCAGCCCCTTGGGTGAATAAGCCAAGGCCTCCAAGGTGCGTGGGCAGGTGCAACACTCATTCCTCTGCTGCCTTTCGTAGGGTAGGGCTAGCTGTAATGTACATTACCTGGTAATTTAATACAAACTCCCTTTTAAATATTTTACATTGCTTTATTAGAAATTCTTTAGTTGGCTTAGTGCCCATAGTACAGTGGTTATAGCACCAGCCACATGCACCAAGGATGGTGGGTTCGAGCCCAGCCCAGGCCAGCTAAACAACAATGACAACTGTAACAAAAAAAATTAACCGAGCATTGTGGTGGGCCTCTGTAGTCCAGCTACTTGGGAGGCTGAGGCAAAAGAATCACTTAAACACAAGAATTTGAGGTTGCTGTGAGCTGTGAGGCCATGGCACTCTACTGAGGGTGACATAGTGAGACTCTATATCAAAAAGAAAAAAAATAAAGAAAAGAAATTCTTCAGTGGTTCCCCATTCTTCTAGCAGACCATCTTAATTTACTTCAGAGGTTCCATAACACCCTGAAATTATGTGAAGACTGTTATGAAGAAGGGGCCATAGTTTTCATCATTCACCGAACAGCCATGACCTATACAGCAAGTAACCCCTGGCCTGGATAGTGAGGCGTAGGCTCAGTGGCACAGGATTCTGTCTGCTGACTGTTCACGTCCCAATGTACCCCTCTCTGTGTACCCGCCATACTCCACACCACTGGCCATGGCCCATCCTGCTTTCTCAGGAGCCTGTTACCCTTCTCCTCTCACCCTCCTGTTGCTGGGCTGAGGGCTCTTCATCCCTCTTCACTCAGACATCTTCGGCTTTTCCTTAGAAAAGTCTCTCCAGAGCTCACTCTGGGCTTCTGCCTTTTAAAGCTCTTTCTGAATCACAGCTTTCTTCCCGACAGTGACATCCCTAACCATCAATGCATGTGGTCTCACTCAGCACCTAGCACATTACAGCAAATGCAAAATACAGATTTGTTGGATTGAATTGGCACAAAATATATTAAACCCTGAGTTGGGCTTCAAGGAGTGTTTTGTTTTATTTTGCTGTTTTATTTTTTAGGGGTAGGACAGGGTCGTACTCTAATAAAAGGATGCATTCATATAATACTTCTATAATTTAAAATTTAAATTATTTTAAAATAATTATGCGGGATATGGTGAGTATACGACGTTCCTGAGTGAAAGATAGGACTTTTTTCCTCTAACTAAAAAGCAGTTTTCTGTCTTCTTTTTTCCTCTGCCTACTAGGATTTACCGGAAAATTTATCAGGACCTTCTAGACTATCTTTGTTGACCAGGCACAATGGCTCATGCCTGTAATCCTAGCACTCTGGGAGGCTGAGGAGGGTGGATTGCCCAAGCTTAAGAATTCAAGACCAGCCTGAGCAAGAGCAAGACCTCATCTCTACTAAAAATAGAAAAAAAAAAATAGCTGGGCATTGTGGTAGGCGTCTGTAGTCCCAGCTACTTGGGAGGCTGAGGCAAGAGGATCACTTGAGCCCAAGAGTTTGAGGTTGCTGTGAGCTATGATGCCATGGCACTCTACCGAGGGCGACAAAGATGAGACTCTGTCTCAAAAAATAAATAAATTATCTTTGCTTAGGATAGTGTATCTAAATGCTGATTTTGATCATCAATGTTGCCTTTTTGTCTGCTTTTGTTAAGCCGAGGGCCCTGTGGTGACAGCCCGGTATGACTGCCTTGGCTGTGTACATCCCATATCAACAGACAGCCCCGACCTGGAGCCCATCCTGAGACACAGCATTCAACATTTCAATAACAAGTCTAGTAATTCCCACCTCTTTGTTCTTAGTGAAGTAAAACGGGCCCAAAGACAGGTTCGTTCTTTAAATTTTCATGTCACATAGCACTGTTAACATGCGTTGGGTCTTTATGTTTAGGGAGGGCTTCATTACCTAAAATAAGCATTGGTCAAAGGAATGTGTCTGATCACATGGCTGGTGGTGAGGTGTTCTGGGTTTCCATGTGACCAGCACATGATGCAAAGTGCTTTCTCTTTAGAAGGGCTCCCAGTGAGCTAAACAGTGCAGTAAGTAAAGAGGGAAAAAGTGGCCAATCAGACCCCTTCCCTTGAAGTCTGTTTTTTACAAGTGAGTAGGCATCATTACATGTTCTTCCCAGAGACAGTGAAATGGAAGTCACAGTGGACTTGACTTTAAGAAAACTGTACCATCTGCTAGCTATCATGGGTTAAACATAGCTCCAAAATATTAAATGGAGTCTAAGATGGTTGGCATGGCTTTCTCGGCAACCGCTAAGTTATAATTTCCATATCATCAGGGAAAAGAAAAAGGTGAATACCTAGAAATTTGCTCTTTTTATTGATTCATTTCATCTCGCCTTTCCTGATAGTTGACTAGATCCCTTGTAATTCAGCCTCATACTATGAGTGATTCACTTTGGTCAGTAACATTCCTTTCATTTAATAGACTTTACAATTTGCCTTCCCGTAAGATGCATGTTTTACTCAATTACACGCATATATAGCTATCGGAGTGGAACTGACCTGGAATAAAGCAGGAAAGATTTTACTACCTGATTATGTGGGAGCCCGAGGACCCACCAGCAAAGGCCACTCCCCTCCAAAGTTTTCTTTACTTATCTAGAAGAGCATTATTATTTCATGAAGTTCACCAAAACATTTTCTTTCTGCAGATGGACAGAGGAAATTATTGTTAGATCTTACATAAAGAGACATAGAGTAACTATATCTATATATTGCTTTTTATTTTTAGCTGGATAGAGGTGTGTGTGTGTATGTGTTGTATAGGAAGTGTGAGAGTCTCAAGGTACACAGTATTTATTTACTAATATTTTTGCTTAGTAATAATAAAAGTTTTTATTTCTTGGGCACTTACATGCCCTACAGTGTTCTAAATGCCTGAGAACATTTACATATTTCTGTGAATAATGTTTAAACTGCCCTTTAAATAATCAATGCAAATTCGTTTCAGGTGGTAGCTGGATGGAACTTTGAAGTTACCTACTCAATTGTGCAAACTAATTGCTCCAAAGAGGAGTTTCTATTCTTAACACCAGATTGCAAGTCCCTTTTGAATGGTGTAAGTAAGCAAAAAAAAAAAAAAAAAAAACTAAGTTCTTATCATTTTGTTTACAGTTTTTGCAAGCATAGGAACTATCAAGTGGTGTGGGAAAATTGTCACTTAAAGTTTAGATGACTTTTAGCAATCCATGTTCACATGCACTTAGGAATCCTAATGCTCACGTCCCTGGTCAAGCTGCCGCACCCACCTAGTCAAAGAATCTGCATGTGTAGAATAAGTATTTATAGAGTATAACAGGGAGGAGGAGTAGTCTGGGGAAAAATGAGAAAATTGTCAAGTTATCTTTGTTAAATCTTC